GAGAGACCTGTTATTAACAGTCGTGATAGGATTACTAAATTACTCCACTTATTCATAATCTTTTAAGGTACTTGTACTTTACTTTTAGTATTTTCTGCTCCATTTATTTACGTGATAAAGTTCCCCATGATTATATAATGTAATAGGCTACATATTGGCTTTACTTACACGAAAAATGCTGCATACACGTTATATACATTCATTATGAATATGTGATGGCTAAAAATAACGACAGCTAAGTAGCACTAAAGTATATATTTTATTATGATTAAATGCTTTGTTGTGCTTCAAATGATCGACATGATATTGAAGGTTTTAACTCTTTGTGGCTTTAATGTAACTTCTACACTTTACAACCATACACTGTAAATATTACAACACAGCTCACCTGGAGGTTAACAGGTCAGGTCTAATTAACCGCTGCATCATGCATTCATATCACACTGCTGCCCTCTGCTGGCACTGGGTTACAATTACATCCAACAGTCACTATAACAGAAATGTATCCTCTTTTTAACCTTTTTTTCCAACACATAAATGTGTGGAAAAATATAAATAGTGCAGTTACTTCTGTATAGCATACAGTAGTATGATGTTTCCTCGCTCTGTGCTGTAGCTCCGAGGTAAAATGATTTTCTAAACATTAGAGATTAAATGTTCATCTTGATAAAGTAATATGAATAAACTTCATTTATTTAATTTAAATGTGAAAGCTCTTAATCCAGCCTTCTGTATTTAATTTACTCAAAGAAACAGCAGTCTGATTAATTTCTTATTTAAGTGCAGTAACCAACAACTAACCACCAGGTGGCGCCCTCTCTAGATAAAGTGATGAAATGCATTATTTTAAACCTTTAACTTTTAATCAGAGTCTTACTTATAACCATTCTGACTTACTTACTTACTTATAACCATTTAAAAAATGCATAAAAACAATTGTGAACAGCACTAGATTTAAAAAGTGACATTTAGATCCAGTAAAGCACGTTTTTTTCTTGTAATCTCTGTGCAAAAGTTTGCAAATCCCCATGAAAGTTGAGTGGATGACTCAAGTTCGCAACTTTTGATCTACACGTGTGCTCAAGAAAGGAAGCTTACCAAAGGAAAGAGAGCAAGAAACATCTGTAGCGCCCATCTGGTCTAACTGATATATTCAAGCTCCCTTTATAAAGAGATGGAAAGACTTGAGCTCAGAGTTGGGAGGGAAATGTCAATGTTAAAATGGTTATGTGAAATCAAGACCACTAGGACAGCATACAGTAAATGCAGCACACAGCTTAAGGTGTGGCCTGTCTGATGTCTTGCTTGCTACATTGAGAGGCTATGCATTGCATTCATCTTCTTCCCATCATCAACCAGTAGTCCAACATCACGGAGTTCTCAAAACAAATAAGTTACATAGAAAAATAACAGAGAATTAAATACTTCAGTTTCAGAAAAATAGGTTTAACTGTCATTTTTTTAAATCTCTGTGGATGAGTTCAGTGCTGTCTCTTAAATATGTGTCAGATGGGTGACTGAGACCTTTGATCATTTAGTCGAGTGCAGTCTCCATGCAATACGTGAGCTCGAGTTCATGTGTCTAGAAAACTAAAATGACTAATTTCTGGTCATGCAGTTAAGTACATTTACATGTGTGACGGTGGAAAAGCGGGTTTCTGCTGCGTCGGGTGGATGGTGTTCGTAAAGGCTAGAGCAGGCTTAGAAAGCTAAGACTATCAGAGGCTGAGCTGTGAGCCCAAAACATGGATGAAGGAAGACCTGAAGCATACGATGAAATACTCTTCAGGGATGGTCAGAAATCCTTAAGAGCAGCCTTCCTATTCTGGACGTTTACCTTTCAATACATTTTTAAAGGAGGTTTGGGACTGCAGCAGGCTAAACAAACAAGCTGCACTGAAAGTTTAGGAGGTGAAGATCACCAGTACATGGTGTGTAGGTGGTACAAATGTTCTTGTGAAGTTTTTGGACATTTATTAGTTCCTTTTTAACAAATGTAAAAGGCCAATTTAGACTCGAGAATGGATATTTTCCAATTGATATTTTCCACTCCTTATATTGTGTCTAACACAATGTTTCCTTTGCAACAATATGTGACATTTATGCATCATGGTGTCACAGTAATATTAAATGTAGGAAACATTCAAACTCCCAAACCTCCTTTAGATAAATGTCCTTTAAAAAAGTACCAGTGTACTCTTGATATGATGCAGTGACTTGAAAAAGGGAATTCTACGTTACAAATCTACTACATCCACAACTTGCATTGAACTCTTCAAACGCCAAGCAGATTGTTGGTCTGAGCAGAGCAAGAGGAAGAAAAAACACACATCTTAGGTCACAAACTTAGCTCCCATTACTGGCCAAACCCCATAAAAACATCTCCAAATTTAAGCTTTGGTTACTGGTTTGCGACACAACAATACTTGAAGCAACTGCATTTAAGATCAATAAGGACAAAATAACAAATAAATACAGACTGAGTAAAGCTGGGTTTAAATTTCTACACATCTACCGGTTCATCCAAGACCGCTGCATAAGCTGCTGCTGAAAGCTGCCGTACTGCTGCTGTGTGTGCTGCTGTTTATTCTTGTCTGGACACTGCAGGCCATATAAATCATATATTTAACATAGATAAAAAAAAAAAAGAGGACTGGATATCAACCCCACCTGTGATTATTTGTTTTTAGATCTGCAGTGCTGAAACATGCATTTATTTGTGCAGTGCAATAACAATCCGAGCTCATGAATGTCTCTTTGTTGAATATGTGCAGAACACACTGGTTTTATTTTGTGCAGGTCAAAAACCACAACAGTAAGTCAGCTCTTGAATGTGTCTTTATTGTCAAACGCGTCACTAAACATTGTGTCCATCAGTCACCTCTGGCACCTGAAGTGATAAAAGAAAAAAGTGATAAGAAAAATAGTCCGTCACTTTGTCTTGTTCTGTAGTTTTGTTTTCTGGTCATTAATGCCCAATCGTTGTTTCTTTCTGCTGAGGTTTGTTTAGTTATAGAGTTAAAGTTTCATTGTTTCCACTTGCAGTCTCTTTAATGTTTAATTCTTCTCATGTTTGTAACTTCAGGTGTTGCTTCAGATTTAGTCTTTATAGTCAGTTGTTAGAGCTTTGTGGTCTTATTGATGTAATGGTTTTTTAAGTCTCAGTATTTCAAGCAGTTTTGGGATACGTTGTCAAATAATGTAATTTGCATGTTACTTTATCTACATTAAATCGTTTAAGTTTTAACAATTAAAACTTATGTTAAAATATGATTTTCTATTAGAACATTGATTGTTAGTCAATAACTAAAGCTAAGACCAACCAGTGAACTAAAAACAGCTAACAGGTAAACTAATCAAGAGGAAAATCTTACCTTGGAGCTGCAGCACATTGATGACTCTTGAGACTTTACACAGAGCAAGGAAACACCTACAAGAGCGACAAATAAGTGTTAACATAACAAATAGTGGAGCAGAGAGCTTGTACTGTCACTGTGAAGCACACCTGCACACACCTGTTCACGGTGCGTTCACGGACCGGCGGAGGACTCGTTTGTTTGAGATGGCAGCCTGGAGAAAGATGCAGAGAGATGACAGGTGATCAGACAAAGGTAACAAATGTACGTGAATAAAGAACGTATTTCAATTACTTTTGAATTAATGTGAAATAACTGTGTGTGTTTGAGCTTTTTTCTATTTGGAGTCAGTATAAAGTTGCTGATGTGGTCCATTCACATCTACCAGCACTTGTGTTGATGGAGAAACAGCGCCATCTGGTGGGAAGGTTTGTTCTTACACGTCTTGGTCAACAGAGGACTCGTTACTCATAGGAAGGACCCCCTTTTCAAACAGGATTAAAGCCACATGTGAAAAAGCCACGATGGACAGCATGCAGATGGTGTTGAATGGCGAGCGCTGAATGTAAACGGCATCCACCAAAGTGCAGCCTGGGAGATGTAGTATGACAGGCAGATTGAACACCGGCTCGCCGCACAGAGCTCTCATCACAGCCAATGAAAGCCCCACACAGCCGTTGGAGACCCTGGTGAAGAGGATGCAGATGAGTTGGGGGGGGGGGAGCATTATGGTGTAAGTCAAGTCTGAGCTCAGGATCCAGAAGGCCAAGATGCTGCTCTCCAGGCAGGTGAGGGACGTTCCCATGATCCCGACGACCACGATTGAGGAACGAATCACCCACTGCAGCACTCTATCTGATGCCTAAATAAAAAGTACAATTGTTTAAAAGCCCATACAAGCAAGCAATGACATGAAATTACAATCTTGAAACCGTTATCCAGTAGTCTGAGCCCATAACAGCATAATGAGCCTAGAGCAGCTTGATCCAAATTGATTGGCGATTGACGATTGGCAAAACCATGGCTGCTTCTCCTCGCTCATATGGAGAAGGAGAGCTGTTAAGAGGTCAAGCTCCCAATCTGAAACACAAGAGGGAGACGCTGTTTAGCTGGGACACCACTGAGATGGTTCAGTAAAGAGCAGTTTTTATGGTGAGTAGGTGTTTGAATGAAGTCTTAAGGTACACCCGCAGAGGCAGCGACGGCACCAATCAGAATAGGTGGGATTCCAAGAAGGAGGACGACACCTGCTGCTATGAAACAGATCATTCTGGCCGTAGATGTAGCGCTGGATGAACGGTGAATCCTTGCTGTGTAAGACAGAGATGTAATGCTAACAGTCAAACCAAAGTGACCAAATCACCTACGTTTTCATATGGGTGTCATCTTTACCAAAACTCACGCGTCATTGTGAAGACTCCAACTTGCCAAGCTGACCCTCCTGTTAGCCAAAAAAGACATTTCTATTTGCAGCATGTGCAACAGTAGCTTTCAATATCAGATGATATGTTCAGTATTATATTCAATATTCCTTTTTTTTCATATTGGTAGAGACACTGCTTGGTAAAAGGAAGGGCAGGCCGCTGCTTGAAGCCCCAGGTTTAAATTGGCAGACAGACAAAAAAAAAAAAAACGTACAACATGTTTTACAACTGATACGCATTTTATTTATGATCACACACGTCCATTTTTTCTACATCACGTCTTCTTCAATGTCAGTGCATTCGTTAGATCAGCAAGACAACCAGTAGACTTCCAAAAATAAAACACAAGCCAGAATAAAAGTGCTGTATTCGACGCCTCTCAAACATGAAGCACTGAACCCTTGAAGAGAAACAAGAACACCCTCAAGCACACGCGAAAAGAAATCATACGCCTTTGCTCTGCTTAAAATGCTGTTTTCTTTTAGCGGCCGACGCACAGAAAGAGTTTGCATAAGGCACAGAGACATAAAGGAGGGGTTAGCTTATCAATGGAACGGGTGGATTTCCTCTTTCTGCAGAGATGCTTCAACAATGTGATGATAAAATGAAGATAAAGGGGGTCAACATCAGGTTATTAAATGCACATGGCAAAGTTGTAGATTGGTTCTAAATCCAGTGAAACACTGATGAAACATTCCACACAGGAAATGAACAGCTCTAAAATTAAAGCGCGAGATCGGGGGTGAACACGCGTTCAAAGAAAACGATATTTATTTGCATTACAAAAACAAGCAGATTTGGTTAAAAGCTTTTACACACAGACATTTATAAATGGGAGCTATGCAGACACAGGAGGAGCTTATTCACTGCAATCAATGAGAGACTTCAGAGACCACAAGAGTTTAAAAATGATAATGATGAGAGAAAGAGGTGAATATTTGGGGAATCATCTTGGATGCATTCACATTTGACTCAATCAATTACAGTCATTTAATCATTTAAAATGTAGTTATTCGTCAGCTAGTCTAGGACATGCCATTCAAGCAGTGTGACTGTGACAGCACACTAATATCAATATAGCACCAAAGAAGAATTCAAGAAATCAGAATTTAGAGATCAATTAGCATCGTTCATATCAATAAAGTATATTTTAACGCACACAACTTATATTAACCGAATGGGGACAATGCTTTTAAGTTGACATTTACAGTTTGTGTCTGTAAAAAACGTTGTAAAAAGTTATTCTACGAGGCTCTGGGGGAGGAAGAGGCTGCAGCAGTGACCCTGATGATGTCATGGGGGGGGGGGGGGGGGGGGTGACTTCTCGGCATGGGCTTGGACGCTTTAAATCCAAAACTGAAAGTCTGGAGAGTGTGGCATTTAAAAGTGCCGGATCTAATGTTGCATTCTGGGAAATGTAGGCTATATCTGCATCTATTTTTCCTCCTACTTTATTCAAATAAACACCCCTTCATTTGAAGCTACATTCCTCGACATTCCTTGAAGGAGCAGCAACTTTGTTGTCATGACAACCAACAAAGTCACTGCACCGGGACAAGAAACCATCATTAAAAACGTGCCATTTTGACACCTTTTTTATGGCCAAAATAAACAAAACTAAGCATTTTAATTTGTGAAAGTCAGAAGCGCTTTAAGCTAATGTTGATAAAGAGCTGGACAGAGCCAGGCGTATATTCACTGTGTCATCACTGGTTGACTTACCCCCTATTCACACAAACTCTGGGCTCGCCGCGGCCCGTCAGCGCCACGTTTTTTTCTCCGTCAGACGGCGCCCTGCCCCTGCACCCCACTGGATCCGTTTCTGGAACGTCAGCGGAGCGCAGCCATGATCGGCTGTGCACGCATCACAGGAGAACTAGAAGATCACGCGTGCCTGCAGCGTATTTGAAACGGAGCAGACCGTAGTGGCGTTGGTGGCGTGCTCCAATGACAGGCCGCAGCGTGCACGGAGTATGTGTGAATTGGGGGTTAGAGTCACGTCTGTTCATGCACTGATCCAACAGCTATTTGAATCTGATGACAGTGGGTTGGTTAGATTCAAGTCTCAAACTTAGAAGCTAAAGAAGGTGAAGAAATACTTTGACTTGACGGAAAGATTTCAGGCGCTTTAACACGGATGAAAATAATGTAGAGCAACTTTACAATCCAGCACACAGAATCCAGCTTCACAGTATTTAAATCTTCATCGCATCAGGCAGTAATCCAATGACTTTGCTTGTCTTTATATCGGACATCTTGGGGAGAAAGTCCTCAAAAGTCACTTCCTCTTAGTGTGACATTACAGCGTAAAAACAAGAAGAACCGTATCCAGGTTGATCAGCAAACTTTGAGCATCATTCGTCAGACTATCTTAAGGCTGTGTATAGAGAGTACCATTACCTGTACAAGAATATGTGGTCATTGGATTATAAAAAAAAAAAAGAAAAGAAGAGAGATCAGCAGTACAACCGCTTGTACTTGGAGGCTTCGTGAACATCAACACCTTCAGTCCTTCTCCCCATATTGCATCCGTCGGTACATCAGTGCAGGTCATGCTCCCGTCTCAGAACCGTGTGTGTGCGCTCACTCTCTCACGCACACATACACACACACACAGACCCACTCGCTCATACGCACGCACACACACACACATTCCTGAATCTACAACATCTACATCCAAAGGTATGAGGGCTGAAGGAACTAGGTTTTGAGTGCTGAGTTTTTCCAGAGTGGTTTGTGATAGATCCAGCCTTCACCCTGGAGGAGGAGAAGAAACTAACGTTAGACAGACAGACAGACAGACAGACAGACAGACAGACAGACAGAAAGACAGGCACTCTAACTTAAACTGGACAGCCTAAAGTCAGTGTAAAAATCCTGAAAACGACCTGAGCCTGACCCCTGACCGGGCTACCAGGTCACAAACTGGGTCATCTGTTCGGCCTCAAGCAGCCGAAATAGAAACAAAGTCAAACTGAGCGAGCTGTACGCATCTCGGGGCGGCGTTATGAACCCAGAAACAACAGCATTTATAGTTCTGACATATCTGAAAGGTATATGTTTCATGAAGGTCACACCCAAGTGAGTAACCAAAAGCTTAGCTCTCTGTCAAAATGAACAAATCTTGTTTCTTTTCTGCAGCCAGTTAACAAAGGTCAAAGACGATTAGGCTTCTGTTTGGTTCTTTAGTTAATAGTTAATAATGTTCTGTTGTGCAAAACCAAAACAGGAAACATGAATCCAAAGGCTTCCTCTCTTTGGAAACAGGATCAAATGTATACTGAAGTCATGAACAAGTGTTCCTCACATTAAATCTATGAACTGCTTATTTAAAGAAAAATACAAACAAATCAGTATCAGAGTTGTCATTGTGGTCCTCCTCACCTCTCTTTCAAAGTATCTGGTCCTCCAGGCGGTTTCAGTCTCAGCGCGGTGCCTCTCCTCCGTCCTCTGCCTCTCCTCCAGGAGCCTCTTGTGCTCCGTCGCTTTTTCGATATCTTTCTCCCGTAAGGACGCCGTCACGTGCTGCCACAGCCGCCTGAAACGCAGCGAATACTTAAGTGTGCGCTCAGATATTTTTGCCTTACAATGCTACAGATGCTGAAATCTGTCCTGACCTGGATTCAGTGGGCCCCTGCTTCTCGACCGGCCGAACGCTCTTCTTTGTGACGGGCAGCTTTGTGACGTCAACCATCTTCATTTCTCCGTTGGTGTAGCTGAACTCTAACACGCCGTTCCACTCGCCCTGCACCCGGCACACTACTGCATTTGTGGTGTTGTGCTTCACCTCTGCTGTCACTCTGCAATTTGGGTAAGAAAATAAATCCAAGTTAAAGTTCGTCCTGCGGCGATATCAAGATGTAGAAACTAAGCAACCAAACAAATATCAACCTGTCACCAGGACGGGACTCACTTGTGTAATTTGCCACCATAAAAGGGTTTCGTCTGAAAAGTGATGACAGCAGAGTAGCCTGACTTTGCGCAGTTGATGGTGACTTTGCCGCCCAGTTCCACCCAGGGGACGGTGAGGATGGAGCGAGCGTACGCACAAGGCAACGTGAACGTGTACTCCTCATCGTGCTCCAGCAGATACAGACAACCTGGAGAGAGTTAACACATGACCAAACATCCATTAGGACATTATACTTCTTAACCACGTTGATTTATGCCTGAGAGTTATTTAATGTTATAAAAAGGTGGTCTAATGTCATGATTGACAGCTCTGCAGGGTTCTGTGTTGGAGAAACAGTGCTCCATCTTTTAGAAATCTACTGCTGTTATGCAATAAGACAGAGATCAATATCTGAATCTCTCTGTTACGTTCTACTTATTACGCTTCCAGCTTACCTTCCCCGATCATAGAAACTCCGATGGACATTCCCATGAACTTGCTCTTGGTCCACACATGAGTGTTCACACACATCCGCCTCTCCTGGCACTCGGCGTAGAAGCCGGACACAGGCGGGTGGTGGGACACCTGCTCCGCCACAAAGCGCACTTGGTAAGGGTCCTGGGAGGCGGACGGCTCTGGGCTCCCCTGCGACGGCTCCTTGGGGGCCTCTGGCCTCGGCACCTTCCAGGAGCAGTGGAAGGACTCTCCGATGATGGGGTTGTAGGGCTTCTTGGCGATGGCGCCCTTGCGGCCCTCGTGGAAGGAGGTGAGGTAGTACTCAACGAAGCGGACCATGCGGTCCTCTGGGCTGCTGCCGTCCGTGATGGCAACAAAGAGGTCCGGGTGGGACATGAAGTCGGCGTACATCTCCAGGAGAGAACGCTTCTCCAGGATGAAGGTGGGGAGGACCACCTGGGGGAAGAACCCGAACGCAGATGAGATCATTTACAAAAAAGACTTTGACAGCTTCTCTTGACATTTTGTAAATTCAAAACAAGAAATGACCTAAAACTCGTCAAGGACTTGTATTTTTGTTGCCGTGGCATTAAAGGAAGGTTTTGATTTTCTCTCATTTGTACTTGAATCATAACTAATATTCTGGCATTGACAACCTTCTTGTTTTTGGTGCCTTTAAGTAAAAAGGGCAATCTGAGGAGCTATAAATCAGAAACCAAAGACGAGGCTATCCAAATACCGGAACAAACTGACACTGCAAGATAGAATGACTATCCAGGACGCAGCTCTCTCTGTTTTGTGTGTGTGTGTGTGTGTGTGTTGGAGTAGTAATTACGCACGCAGCAAGTCGTGCTTACTTCAGACTTTCAGGTCAGCACAAATCAGAGTACAGGAAAACAGAGCGTGCCTCATTAAATCCAGGGTCATGACACAGATTTTCCGTTCAGACTTTTTTTTGATGAATCATTCAGCTCAGAAAAGATTGTTACAGAAAGTTAAAAAAAAACAAGGCAATCCTTGTCGTTACATCATGATGTGTGATGCATCAGGAAATTAGTGTTAGTTGAACTGCATCAATATTAGCACCAATACTGAAACACTGTCCTCCCCAATGTTTCAGGATGTGTTCATACAAGTGAAGTCTGATTTATTCTTCTAGCATCATACACCGCAGGCTGTCATAGCCCTGTGCCGATGCAGAAGCCGACATCTGGAGCCTGACATGCTTGTAGGTGTATTTTGCTACGTGGCAGAACATGGAACTCGACCTACCCGCGTGAGGTCCATGCCCAGCTTCAGTTGGGACAGCAGGTGTAGGATGACGCTGCGCTCCTCTTCCACGACACCCAGGTCCTCCTCCTTGTCCGTTAGGGAGTCCTCGGCCTCATCCTCCGCGTCGATGTCTTCTTGTTCCTTTAAGAGACAGAGGGAGGGGAGTGTGATTTATTCAACGACTGGCTCGGATGACTCGGCAGAGGTTGAAAGCAAGTGATTGTTCAGGTCGTCGGGTAACGTGACTGCTTGTCTGAGATCTGTAAAAGCTAAACGATAAGAATTGAATGGTTTTGGTTGGATATGAAAGCCTTAAGATTAAAAGGTGATTCTTGAAAGAGATTAGGTGACATTACCCCAGAGAAGCTGCAAGAATCCGGGCTGCTTAGCTCCAGTTGTCCCCCCTCCAGCGGGCCCTCCCCCGTCGGGAAGCTGCCCAGGGAGCCGCTGCCGTTCTTCAGGATGTCTGGAAGCTTGGGCTCCAGCCACTCGATGCTGGGTCCTGCCATGGACGGGTAAATTCAAAGCAGCAGGTTCAGATGTGCTCGTGGTACCTTCCCCCCTCCCTCCCAAGTCCCCCTGACACTCACAGCTGACCCTGAACTCCACCGACCATCCACCAAAACACCCCACGACCTCGTTTGTGGCTGCTTTGAGACAGATGGCGGCTCCTTTGGTGGCTGCACTCGACCAAAAGAGTGAAACCCAAACCCTGAAGTGAGCCAGGTATCAGGATACTCTGGCCCTGCAGACAGGATACATCCTTGTCTCCTGATTGGCTGTACCCTCTCGGTCATTTTTTTTATGCATAGGCGGCCACAGAGGCGGGCAGAGCTCATTCATATTCACCTCGTGCGTCGTCGGACAACTTAATCTGATTGGCTAGGCGATGAGTCTGGCCTAATGAAATATGCATTGAGAAATAAGATCTGCTGCGAAAAAGTGGGATACTACCTGGAAGGAGCTATTCAAATCATTATGGGTAATAAAGGTGAGGAAACATTGACACATTGGCTTTATATCTTTAAAGATGGAGCTTATTTAGAGCTAAATTCTGTCCTCTTAATGCAGCTGACGGATATTTTAACCGTCTGAGATCTCATTACCTTTGAGACAGGTGGTAAGAAAAGGAACGCTCCCCTATAAATAATGCAAAATAATTCCACTGTCCGCCCAACGCTGTCTGTTAGACAGGAAGCAGGCCTGCGTGTGCAACACAAGGATTTGTTTTCTGCACAAAAGCAGCTCGCAAAGGAGACAACAACACTCAACGTACCAACAGCTGTTAGAAAAGCATGCAAACCAGTTCACACAAAACACCGACCTCCCAGGGAGCCCCTCAGCCTGGCCACTTGCTGCAGGTTCAGGATTTGCAGGCACTCGTTGAGGCAGTTCATGGTGGCCATAGAGGTGGCCTTGAGCATCAGGAAGTCCTGGTCTAAAGGGGAGAGGCCCGGGGCTGCAGGGAGGCCCTCGATGCTCTGGATGAGGTCTCGGTGCTGGCCCTGAGCCTGGGTCATCATCTGGAGGAGGATGGTTATGAAGTTATAATCTCACAGATTCCACAGCATCACAAAAACAAAAACTTTTCTCAAACTGTGAGCTGACCTTTGGGTATTTTTTCTCATCAAACATTGAAAATAAAGTCTCTTTGACTAACTGCTGTGGTCTGATTAATTCATGGGACGAATAGAAAGCACCCTAAGAGAACAGAGTACATGATGCTGAAGTTTACTCATGCTAACGTCAACACTACAGCTTCCTCTTGAGCTCCTTAAAGTGAAGACGAGTGCTCATAACTCATCAACTATAAACAAAACAAACACCTTCAATATTTGATATTTACCACGGCTTGTGTTGTAGAACTTCACAGCTGTTTGTACTTCTGTGGAGATCTACTCAGCATTAAAAGCTTCAGCATTAATAAAACATCATATTGTGAGCATAGTGACAGCCTTTTGTTTTGACAATACGGTGAGTTACTGTAATATTTATTGTGTTATTTTTGTAGAATTTGTAGTCTACACACGAGACGTTAACCATGCTGTTTATGAATACAATTAAATTCTCTAGTGCACTTTGAATAAATACATCTGCTGACTTACAGTTAGCCCTTCAGTTCTTTCTTTGTTTTAGTGTATTTAAAAGGTCACATATTATGCAAAACACACTTTACCATGTTTTTTCTAACACTCATATGTGTCGCTAGTCTGTCTACAAACCAAACCCAAGAATGACAAAAGTCCATCCTCTCCGTCTTTTGCCTGCTCCACTTTTCAGAAAATGTGTGCTCTGAGACTTACTTAGATTTGTTGAAAGGGGGATAGTATGTGAACTTTAAAGATGGCAGAAGGGAAGGCAGGTGGGAAGTGGATGTCTAGCAATCCACAGTTACAGAAGGTTTGATGTGACGGAAAGAGGATTATTAGAATTTTACTGTTTGAATAAATTATATTTAAATCCCATCTTTATTACCTGGACTACTCGGTACTAACTGTTCTTCTTTTCAAACATAAGAATATATTCCAAAGAACAAATCATTATGAGTATAACACACTGGAGATGCGTGCTGTACCTCTCTGGCGTCCAGCAGGTGATCAGGCAGCAGGGACCTCTTGCTGGAGTAGAGCGAAGAGCCTTTGTTGGTCTGCGACCACCCGAATAGGGAGTTGGGGTTTTGGCTGGGCCGGCGCACGGACATGGGGGAGCTGCCGCTGCCTTGAGACGCCATGGAGTAGCTCCGGGACTTTGGCGGGGGGTTAGTCTGTGTGAGCAAATTATGATCTGTCATTACAGTGTAACTCTAGAAGTCCATGTGCAAGGCATAGTTTGTCTGGGGAAACTAACTGTTCATATTTTTTTCCACTTTCATTCAATGATTTGCAATCATGCTTTTTGTGAGAATGTGCCATGTTCATAATGTTTTTCTACAAGAGGAGAACTATCTCTTTAAAGTTCACCTTTAAGAAAGGGAGTGTACATTCATGTATTGAAAGGTCAGTTTCAATACATGCATAAGAATCCAAACCATCTATGCAACTTTCTATAAACCTCCTGGCTATTTTCAACCTGAGACACTGGAATGTTTTTACTCCTCATGTATCTCAAGATCCCTGAAATAGAACAAAGGCAGCCTACTAGTGAGCCAATCAATATCTAATCAATTCGAGTGATTAAAAGGGCTTCACACACAGAGCAAACCCTGATACATTTTGACAAACATTCATATTTCACAGCGTAAGAGTTTGCCACCCCTCTTGCTGCTGACTGTGTTAAATTGCTCTTTTGGCAACACAAGGAAGGAAAACAGGAAAGTGACGACTGTGCAGCTCTATGTTGGATGTAAGCAGTAAATGTGGCTGTTATTGGCCCATCTTCACATATTGCGTAATTTCTCCATTATTTTTTTATAGATCTTTGTGTATTTGCATGCAGGGACAAGAGTGAGATGTGTGCATGATCGTTGCAAACATCAATATTTGCACAGCATCCTACCTTTCCCATGGCCTCTGTGTGGTGCTGCGTGCAGATCTGCAGCCTGCTCACCCAGTGCTGCCTCTCTTTGGCATCGGTGGCTGAGAGACAAGGAAGAGAAAAGGTCTGTTTACGATAACTCCAGGATGATCTAACGCAGCATCCATTCCCGTATGCTTCCGCCTCACCCAGGAGCAGATAATGGAAAACATCCAGATCAATATTGTATGAGCCTGATGGATGGTGATGACAGCAACGATAAAGTGAACAGCTGAGAGAGGCGCAAACAACATTCCTATAAAAGGTCTTCAAACCAAGACGATGAGAGATGACCAAAAGAACCTGGATCATCTTAAAGTAGAGTCAAGAGGATTGTGTGTGTATATTTAGACACCCACCCCGGAGCTTGTACTGCTCCCCACTGATGGCGTTGACGGTGAACGTATGCGAGTCCTCGTCGCTTGGGGAGATGACGGCTCCTGCCAGGGGGAGACTGCCGCGGGGCTTCTGTGGCCGTGACTGCTCATTGACAAAGTACTCCAAAAAACCCGCCTCATTGTTTAAGACAAAAAACCTGAAAAATAAAGACAGTGAAAACGTCTAACCCCACTTTGAAACCACAACAAACGGCATTAATTGGATTGGATTAGACTAGATTACGGATTTGGCAGGATTGCAGAATTGGCTGAAGAGAGCTTCTTGTTTATCCTTTATTGGGACACAAGTCAATTTAGGTAGGAATTTTAGCAGTGTAAAAACTCACCTGTACTGCCATCCAGTTACAAGGTTAGTGTACTTCATGAGGTAGCCATCAATATTCTCCATGTGGTCACTGGCATGACAAGAACACTTGTTAAAATACTTGAAGAGACTAAACACAATTGTAAGAGCACAAATCAATCACAGGGTAGCGTTTTCATTTTTCTAAGATCTCTCCACAGACTTTTCGCAGGGTTTCTATATTTTCTCTTCGTCGTTCTTTTTCCACGTCTAATGTCGGAAACCAGTAATAGGTGCATTTCGGTTGTGGGGGCCATTGGAGGGCATGTGGTAGCACTGTCACCACCTGGAGCTTGCATGGACGAAGCCTGGGTCAGTTGAAGGTGCCAATGCTGTTTCGATTGTGTTGGCAACTAAGGGCCAAAGGGGCACAATGGGGACAAGGGGTTTCTTCACTGAGCGCTTATCCTTTCTTTAGGGGGTTCAGTACCTTGTGGACATTTTAAATTCGATACCACAGCCATAAAAAATAGAAGTCCTGGGTAACCAACATGGGGAACTTTCTTCTTTTCAGTTAAGAAAAAAACTTAAATACAAATGAGGTTTTTGGGCGTTTAAAGTATCTAATATGATGTATTTGTTCAACTTAGATATATATGTATGTGTATATATATGTGTTTGCTTGCAATTTGTATTGGATTCATTCCTCTCATAAGCAGCTGATGGGGTTTAAGCATCTTGACGAAGAATGTTTGGTTTAAAAACTCCAATATTTTAAAGTATTGGAAAAATGTATCACATTTGAATTTCAAAAGTTCACATGTTATTACATCAAAAATGATTGTGAAAGAAATTGCAACGATAATAAAAAGAACCAAGCCACAGAATAAAGCTTGCCCTTTTTTTAAACCTTCAAAAATATTTGGAAACTTTCAAGCCCTCATATTTATATCATGTTTTCTTATTTCCATACTTGTTATTACAAAGTAATGAAAGGAAAAAACACTTTGTAGAGTGTATTTCGTCATTAACACAAATAAGGCAATAATAAGGAAATAATCTGCTCATGACAGGCTGTGCACACCAACACAGGGCTCATTACTAACAGGACAAAATGAGACACCCACCTGTACTGCCAGCTTTTGGCACTCGCTCTCCCTGAGCTGGGGGTCCTGTTCTGGGGAAATACATCCAGCTTTCCATCGCTTTCCGAGATTCGTAGAGCCGCTGTTTCCCCTTGCATAGTCACTAGAAACGACGCCTCCTGTAGACGCTAACTCAGCGTGCTATAGCGTCGAGCTAACCTGTCAAGCTAGCTAAAGCTAAGTCGCCACAGATTTGATAAAGTGGACGAGTCTCTGTTATAACACAAAGCGAAGCAGTCGGTTCATCTCTTCACTAGACGGACCACTTACCCAACAACAGCTGGACTGTTAACTGGCTGTGTTAAATAACGAATTATAAAACATTGTCTTTCCTCCTGCCAACACAGGGAGTAGCCTGATATTTACTGCTTTGACAGAAAAACAGTCATGTGACCAGCTGACAAGCGCACACTTCCGTGTTCGGTTTGTAGCAGGAAAAAAAAAAAAAAATATATATATATATATATATATATAAAAATAATAATAACAATAATATATGTATCACAAATATTTATAACCCACGCCTAAAGTCATGGCAAAAATATTAATTAATTTAACGGGGAAAAAAATACAGGTCTGAAAAATAAACCGGAAGTTGATCTTTTTTTAATTGTGTATTTTTTCCAAATATCCTTTTTTTCCATTGTTTGGATTTGCTGATAATTTCCGTAAATAAAACCGTGTGGCTTTGCTCCTCACGATTCACTCATTCAGATGCTTCTTTCATTTGTTAAGTTTTCTGCAATTTTCTGTCTGTGTTCATTTATTTATTTATTTTTATTATGTCGTACGAGGGATACAGCTGCTATTCAGAACTAGGAAACATCACCCGTGGATGCGTTTAAACGTAACAGAAAGAGGAGAAAATGTGTTTATCTATTTTTCTTTTTTCTTTATTTAGCAACAACAACATCGTAACCGGACGTGCATGTGCTTTTAATTTGCGGGTTGAAGTTGCCTTACAGAACACCTGAGAACACCTGGCGGGCAGTTTCCCATATTTCCATTCCATATTTCATTATAGATAACCGGTCACATGTAAATGCAATGAATATTAGATTTCCCTCTTTTTGTACCTCTGTATTCATTCAGTTAAATCTAAAGTAGACACGTGTTAATGTTTCAAAACTCTTATATCAACGTGCTGCACTTTAAAAGTCTGCTGTTCTGACTAGGTGGGATGATATTGGTATTTAAAGTCTATGGATGGTATTCAACATTTAACCAGATAAGGGGAGTATCCATTACGAGCGAAGGGAGGGGTAAACCAGTGGGGGAAAAAAATCATAGGGCGTATAAGGAAGTTATTTTAGACGGTGTAAAAAAACAAGTACAGGGACTTTTACATAGACTGTAAAGCAGGATTTACCTCTCTGAAAATGCCTGGGAAGAAAGTCTGCATCGTTGGATCTGGAAATTGGTAACTTGTCATCTCTTCATCAGATACATCTTGCCGAAACTAAACCACTAGTCCAGTTTCTAGAGGCACAATGCAATTAATGCGCACAGTAACATAACGAGGATTTGTGATCTACACATGCGTAATCTTTCCAATATCTTTAAACTGGTATGCTTTATGAAATTGTTAAAGCTTGCTGTGGATTTAGCTCCCCTCCTTTTTGACAGCGTCTCACATTTTGGACCAAATTGAGAGGATTACGCTGCGAGCTGCAACATGCATGCTGTTTGTTTATACTGGCGCGCCCTTAAAGCACGCATGCATTGTGATGCAGATGAAGATGTTCTTTCACATGACTCAACGTGAAGACAGACATAGTTTAGTTTCACATGGTGGTATGTTGAGCCTCTGCGTGAACAGTGTTTTGGATGCGCTCTTTGGATTGAATGAAATATGACGCTGTCTGCTTTGAGATCGTCCAAGTTTTCGATACTTCGATACTGCTCATTTAAAACGATACAATCTGAGTAACTTCAACGATTGATAGTATTGAAAAGCACAAAACTTCAGATTTTCAGTCATGATGTAACATTTGAACTAAAAGCTTTCATGAGATAAAGCTTTTTTTTGGTAATTAAAAACAAGAAGTTACTCTTAGATCTGTATTATTGTTACCGTGGTATCGAAAAAGGTATTGATATTGTTGTTTTTGTACTAGTATCATATCGAAGTTTGAAATTCTGGTATGGTGACACAACCCCAGTTTGCTTATATGTTCTTCCCTTTTTCAGGGGCTCGTCCATCGCCAAAATAATCGGGCGCAATGTCAAAGCCTCCAACCGCTTCGACCCCATTGTGAACATGTGGGTTTACGAAGAGATGATCGACGGAAAGAAGCTCACGGAGATCATCAATACTGACCACGAAAACGTCAAATATCTACCAGGTCACAAGCTGCCAAGGAATGTGGTAAGTCTCAATAAGGAGCAACTTGTGTTGACGGGTTACATAGTTCAGCACTATCAGGTTTGAACCTGATAAGATAACTGCGTCTCTGAGGTCTTGTGTGGAACAGAGTCCATCTACATTTGCAATGACAGAAGTAAAGAGGCGGAAAATACAACTCACCAGTAGAATAGAAGAATGAGTGATTAGAACCAGTGGGACACCTTTCATTCCCCTGATTTTTGTGTTCTTATGCACCTCTTTTATTATATCGTACACACTTTTTGTAATTGTTATAAATGATGCTTTCTTTTATCTATATGTTCACGCTTTGTGATCCGTCACAATTCAAAGTCTGACTCTGCTTCACTAGGTCGCAATTCCAGAGATCACAGAGGCCGTCAAAGGAGCAAAGATCCTCGTCTTCGTAATCCCGCACCAGTTCATCAGCAACCTCTGCGACCAGATGAAACCTCACATCACCGAGGGAACCATCGGGATATCCCTCATCAAAGTAACATGTTGTTATTGCCCTTTGAGGCAAAAAGGGGAAATACTCGGTCACATGCTTTATAATGTGCAGTCGCCACAGTGAAAAGCGAGAAACTCAGAAATGTGTTTTAAATGTCTTACAGGGTATCGATGAGGGACCGGACGGACTGAAGCTCATCTCTGACATCATCCGGGAGAAACTAGAGATCGAAGTCAGCGTCCTGATGGGGGCCAACATCGCCAGCGAAGTGGCTGATGAGAAGTTTTGTGAAACCACCATCGGTTAGATGCTGTTTTTTCACAAAACTTGCACACAGTGGAGATTTAAAAAAAATCAGAAAGAGGATGTGGTGAAGTAGTGAGACAACACTGGAAAACACCGCCTCACTTCCTCTGCTTCTTTTTTCTTCAACCGCATTCAATACAGGCGCAAAAAACGAGGCAAACGGCGCCATCTTCAAGGAGATGCTCCAAACTCCCAACTTCCGCATCACTGTGGTGCAGGAGAGCGATACAGTGGAGATGTGTGGAGCGCTCAAGGTAAAGAAGGTCACATATTTAGAAATATGTACCGTTAAGTTAGATGTGTCGTTGTCTTCTGCAGTAAGCTTTTTTTTTTAAAAACCAGACACTGCTGCGACTGTTGTCTTCAAAGACACCAGACTTCATTCAGAAAACTGTCTTTTGACCTCACAGGAAACAGGACGTGCTTGTCTACAGCTTCCTCAATCTGTCCGTTAGTGTGTATGTGTTGTTGGGTGACTTCTGTGTCTTTAATGATAAGTGATGCCCCAACACAAGATGCAATAACACAAACATTGGTAGACTGGACACTTTCTCTCACTGTCAGGTAAAATGACTGTTTTTCTTAATGGAGTCTTGTGACTCTAAGGGAAGAGATGATGCTGCTGTTTCCTGTTGGGAAAAAAAAAGGATCTTACCATAACAAACACAGTCTAGCTCTTTGTGTAATTTTGTCCTTAACATAAGATAAGTATCTGAGCCTGTCAGTGGAAAAGATTTGTACTTGTACTAGGAGTAAGTTGATGAGTTGTAAGGGATTATATTGCAGCCTGTTTTGGTGCTGCAGGCTGAAATATTCTACTGCAGGACTGTTGTACCTATTAGTATATAAACCCATATGAATTTAAAACAGGGCCCAGTTAAAGGAACACTGACCTCTCTGTCGGGTGAATTCATATAATATGAAATCAATAAATGAACTACTACTACTGTATGATTTATCCCCTTCCAGAACATCGTGGCAGTAGGGGCTGGATTCTGCGACGGTCTTAGTTTCGGCGACAACACCAAGGCAGCGGTGATCCGTCTGGGTCTGATGGAGATGGTCGCCTTCACCAAGCTGTTCTGCAAAGGCCAAGTGAGCTCCGACACGTTCCTGGAAAGCTGCGGCGTGGCCGACCTCATCACCACCTGCTACGGGGGACGGAACCGCAAAGTGGCCGAGGCCTTCGTCAGAACCTCCAAGGTGACGATGTCGTCCGTGACTGTACGATGTTAATGAAAGTAAATCTGGTATGAGGTGTTGAAACTACTCCGTCTCTCTTCCTCTGCAGTCGATCGTTGAGCTGGAGGCAGAAATGCTCAACGGCCAGAAGCTGCAGGGTCCACAGACGTCAGCGGAAGTCTACAAGATCCTACAAAAGAGGGACATGGTGAACAAGTGAGTCCTTTACAGTCCTTTATAGAGACCTGATGCATCATTAGTCCATTTTACTTGGACGAAATCTTCAATTTCCCATCTGCACAGCTGTCCCAAGAGTCAGCCTCTAGTTGGACACTTCAATGATTACTTAAATAGCACCTTTAATTTAATGTTTGCACTGCCTGTTACTTAATGTCTGTTTTTGATAACATTGCTGTACATAAACAACACAACTTAAAGGTCATTTTTATTTTTTATATTCAGGTCTAATTACAGATTTTTTTCCTCAACTGTTTATAGGTTCTTGTTTAAATTTCACATATTTTTATCCCTTCACGGGTTATGTACATTTCTTGTATAAGTCTATTTTTAATTGCACAGTTTAAGTTTGATTCATCTAGGGGTATTCTTTAAATCTTTTTTCAGGTTAATATATATGTATCGGGGGGGGGGGTGTATTAAACAATACACTTATAAAATAAAGGTAGTGATTCAAATAGAGGCTGGAAATTGGTGAAATTTCCGTTTAACAGATGTATTGGATATGTTACAAAGGGTTGGTGGGGTTGGGGTTTGAGAAACACTTCTTAAAAAAAGCACAACAGCTACATCACCAACTCTGACCTCAATGAAAAACATTCAAATGAATGAACACCTTGATGAAACTGTGTGTTAAAAACAGACATCATGAACGTTGCGTTACAGACAGCAGAGATTGTACAGGTGTGCCTAATCATGTTAATTAGTGTTCATGATCCTGAGGTATGAGATCATTATAAATAAGAACGACATCATGTGTATACCTCCGTGTTAAAGTGGGACTGCACAGCTGTGCTCCTCTAACACAGGTGTTTTCATTTAAGTTGTCTGATTAGGCCTCTGAATGAGCTCTTATTATATTCAGTGAAGCTGCATCGAAGGGCTGCTCAGTCATCAAACACCTTATAAAATCTCTTTTCTTCCAACAGGTTTCCATTGTTCTCTTCGGTCTACCAGATCTGCTTCGAGGGCAAAGACGTGAAAGAGTTCATCGTGTGTCTGCAGAACCACCCACAGCACATCTGACGGGAGCAAACACCAGCCACTGCTGCGCCTTCAATAGCAGTCTACGACCACTAGAGGGGGCCAGAGATTAATCAGCTAGAGACGCACAATGCAACAGGGAAACTACATAAAGACAAAGTGCACTTTGACTTTTTTGTTCAGGACATTTCATCATAGAGCCTTTTTATTTTTAGCTTTGAAAGCATTTTTCTTTTTTTTCTTTTTTTTTAAACAGATTTTACTTTAATTTCCTGTAATATTCACAAGACTCTTTAAATACATCTTTTAAGAATTGCACTTGATTATTTAAAAAAGTAATCATTTTGTATACAATACAACAAGACTGTCAGATTAACTTTTCACTACATGACAGGGACTTTATCATCTCAAAATTTAAACAAACGATTTTTTTTTTTTTTTTAAATCTTTATATGAACTTGTTATGTCAATAAAATCAATTCATAAGAAAAATGTACTCCTTTCATTCCTAAAGAACCAAATCCTAACACTTAGCAAGCCTCAGCACTTTGTGTTTTTTGTCAGGTTCATGGTGTACTTCATGGAAACGTCCTCATTGGAGTGAAGCATGAAGACGCTCTGGATACAGGAGTGCTCGATGCGCATCCATCAAGCTCAGCTTACTAACGTGCTACCTAATTCCTTAAACACCAGATATTCACTGCTGTGTTTGGAGCGCTGTGAGTGAGTGTCAGATCCCTCAGCCAGGTGGAGATGGGCTCAAACTGATTCCCACGAGAGGCACTTTAACTCGGTATGAGAGAGCGGATTAAGGAACAGACGGCGTCCTTGTCCGTCCATCTCCACCATGTTACAGGTCAGAACGGTGAAACCTTTGGTATCCCATCTGTCCGCAGTCGCCGTTTCTAAATACGATGTCACTTTTTGTCTTTGTGTCTGAATCTTTCTTCATCCTGCCCCCTGTGACCTGAAATTCACATTAAAAGTAAAATTAGGGTCCGAGCCCCAAACGCAGAGCGAGGACCCGACTGGAATGCAAATGTTTTCTTTCTTTGTTTCTTTCACTGAATGGATCACATGTGGCCTCCTTAACATGTCCTAAGACTCCTGAAACTCCCCTGGAAAAGTTCCCATTGAAAGTTCCTCCAAATTAAGGAGGGGGGGGAGGTTTGTGGAAAACTACTTAAAACTCCTTGAGAATTTACAAACATTCCCAATATTTCCCGGGATAATTCATACAAAATTCTTGTAGAAGTTTCCCTCTAAAGTAGCCCTGGAACATTTCCAGAGAGAGCCTTCCCATGAAGTTCCCGGTAAAATGTCTCAAAATGTCCAGGTAAACACGAGTTAACCCCCCCCCCCCCCCTGCAGGCTAACCGCTTCCATACAGAACATCGAACAGCTCCCTGAAAAACTGGGGTTATAGGGGGGGGCCACCAGGATGTTCCCATGGGAGAGCCGGGTCACGTTGGGTTGATGTCCTTCACTGCTGGATGGCTCCTCTCATCTCTGAACAGTTACTGTCATCAGCAGGTTTTGGAGCGATGCTGAGACCCTTGTGGTGGGTTGACAGCGGCCCAGATCCTCTGTTTCAAAGAGAAGACCCACCTTCCAAAAGATGAGACCCAAGTTTGAAAGAGGAGCTTAATCACCACGGTAACTTGTCTGTTGGTATCCCATACGACCCCCCCCCCCCCCTACATACACACACACTGTCCTGCAGTAAGAGGCCCTATGGGTAGAGGAGAAAGCAGCAGGTTAAGTTTGAATGCACATGCACCAATAAATAAAGTATTCAGGAATGGTTGGATAAACTCTTTACTTTCTCTCTCGTGAGATGTGATAACTGATTTCTTGAAACCTGAAGCCTTTCGACACCCCTCAAGCTGACAGATTGATACAGTAAATCTTTGTTTCACTTCTTTGGAAAGGGAAAAGTAAAAACATCAATTTGGGGTTTTAGGGAGAGGCGTGGTTTGATGTTTTAATTGCGAGGCAATTTCTTTCTATTGAAGAAACTGTCGCCATAAAAGCTGCTGACAGTAAAGCCCTGCAGAAAAACTGGAGAACACAACAGACAAAATCCCGCTCACCACCATAGTGAAAAGAAGAAACGGTGCGTGACATAATAATATTTATTTATAATAAAAGTTTCTTATGGTAGATGTTTCACCGAAGTCTGCAGCAGTTCTAATGTTTAAGTCTTTTATCGTCTTTCAGCTCAATTGTTTTGGGAGTTTGGTTGTTTGCTTTTTTGGATGTCTTAACAGACATTTAATGACTAGTAATGCTCATCATTCCTACTTCATGACGGTTTGTTTACGTCTTAGAGTTTCACCTGTGCTGAACAAATGTGGATTCAATCTACAATACAGCTCACTTTTTCCTGCATATCAACCCAAAACACATATTAAAATCCTCGTACTCAGCACATTCCACATTCAGTGCAGCTGTGATTTATGATGTGCAATGAGAGTGGGTTGTTATTCACAGTCGGCTTATCACACCTGTGTCTCCCATGGATGAATGTTTCAGTTGTGCGTCCAAACCTCTCCCCCCGAGTTCTCCAGTTAATTTATTTTTTTTTTTTTAATGTGTGGGCCACCCTGGGCCAGAGCACACGGTTCACGTGTTCTGAGAAGCTCAGTGTGAAACCTCACACGTTGGCTTGTAGATAACTCTTAAATATAGCTGATTTGTTCAACTGCGCCTATTACCATGTATCTTTCATGTGTTGTGTGTATTCTCCACAAAAACGTGGGAGTCCAACCCACATCCCCTAGCTAATTACAGAGCTCTGATCTCGTCAGCTGTCGCCGCCACACTCTTTTTACATGTCAATGACAGCCAAATGGGACCTCATATCCTTCCTCCGGCTTGTACAATGCTCTCATTGAAAACACAAGAGACGGATGGAAAAACCAAAAGAGAGAAACGGCGAAGGATGCCACTCCTCGTCCCAGCTGGCGTACACTCAATGGCAGAGGGCAAGGAGCCTTGTCCGTGAAATAACAACCACTCCTCCAGTCCTCCCCCTTCATCCTTCACCTCTGCTCCGGTCGTCTTCATCATCGCCTCGGCCTAATCTGGGCACGTTCGCTGGGACGCTTGCCTCTCTGCCTCCTTTTGTGTTCACACTGATGAGAGAAAAGAGGAGGGTGAAAAAGGGGAGCAGAGGGGGGGTGGGGGGTGGGGGGGGTTGAGGTGGAGGCAGCGGCGGCTGTGGTTGCTCCGGTTTGCTTTTGCAGTCCAGGGGGAAGAGGAGGCAAACTTGGCAGGAAGCCCGACCGTGGCACTGCATACAAACATGGGGTGAAAAACACAAGGCCTATTTGTTCGCCTCTCCCATCCTCTAACCTCAGGGAGAGTGGAAAACATTGCATGAGACATACATAAGATACGGCCCGTTCCTCGCTACCTCGGGACACCCATTGATTCTTCGAAGCAGGAACGGGGGAAATGGACGGAGACGAGACAAATGTACCTCCATCCACGTCAGGAAACCATTCACTATAATTCAATGAAATTAAGTCAATTTGTACAGTAAAGACTTGGCGGCATGCCCAGCCTTGTTTGCTGCTCTAAAAAAAGCTCTTTGATTAAATATACAATACTATCAGACATCACATGACTCGCTCAGACAGCATTTGGAGAGCAACTGCTATTTATCACTACAATATATCTCTAAAAGGGCTGACAGAGTCAAAGCTGGATAATGGTTCTCTACTCCGCATTACATCCTGGTTCATCTAAATCTCCCCAGCTTTATCTCCTGTGGATTCAAAGAAGCTGGCATCAGCACAAACTCCTCAATTCTATCTGATTTGTGGAAGATGACATCTTTACCGTATGTACTGGCCTCATCTCTCTCTCTCTCTCTCTCTGTCTCTCGAGTCCAGCATGCTTACATGCACATGAATGTGCTTTCTGGGGGCTTCTTCTGTGAAATGGGACATCATTCGGTTCCCAGTGCAGCTGCAAATAACATTGAAGTGGCATTCCAACATGTCAGTGTAGCGTGGGCCATGCACTAAAACCACTTCCTGCTCTTTCCAAATATACACATGGGACATACGGAGAGCTGGCAGAAAAATGATCTCCAAATTGAATGTCATTTTTATACATATAAGCTCTGGCCCACATCACTATTTGATTGTGAAACAGAAACCTTCTGACTCAACAGAGTTTCGTGGTCCAAAGCGTAGGTCACATTTGTTGTCATTCATAAATGTTCCACGTTGGTTCTGTCGCATCATTTATCAAAAACCTCTGGGACCGTCTGGTGTTTCCATTACATTATGTTAGCAGCAGTCTCAGGTCAAAACGTCCCACTGATAGCAGACAATCCGTACTATAAGGCTCTCCATAACACAGGTACGCCGAAGGAGCTGTAAGTATTCCAGAAAGATGCAGAGTTGACAGCTTTATGACTGCTCTGGTCTCTGCAACTAATAGCAGCAAGAAATCCACAGGGAGCCGTGACGTTGAATGAGAAAGCACACCTAATGAGTGTTATTCTATCAAAATACATGAAACTATTATTTGTCCATTTCCAAGCATCCAGGAGGCGTTTATTTCCTCTGTTAAATGTAGCTATGTGTTAAAGATGGAAATATCAGAGGCAACCAGCCAGTATATTGTTTTTGTCCTCAATGGTGGGACTACTTCCTCCTCTGAGCGTAGGCATGGTTGCAATGTAAAGGGCTAAGAACTCCTCAAGTGCATACTAAACGCTCTGACCTGTCTCCTTGCATCCTCTCCGAGCTGCTGCAGAATATATACGGCTTTCCCCTCTCAATCGTTTCCTCAGTGCTCCTGCGGGGCGCTGACCTGTGACATGAAAGAGTTGGGACCTCTTGCCATGAATGGATCCGGATTGGCCCCAGGTCAAGAGGAATGTTCGATGGATCATTACCTTCCTGCGGCAGTCTCGAGGTGCTACTACCACATGTTCACACTGGTGGAAGTGCAAGGTTTGGGCCAAAATGTGACTCTCTAACGCATGCATTTGAAGGACTGTAGTGTAGTAAAGATCACTATTTGTTTCCTTTCACTTCCTCTCTTTTCCTACTGCAACTCCTTTAGTACACTTCCTGGTTTCTCACTCTCTCCTCTCCCCATTGATTGGTTGTCGTTTGCACTCTGTCACTAATTAATTAGATTGAATTCACCTGCCTACTGCTTATTTAAGACCGCACTCCCTTACACTCATGTTTTCATCCTCACATGGGGTGGCAGTT